AAAAATATTCATATTAACCTTCAAATCATAATTAAAACGAAACTTTTGACCCTGACGTTTCCAACGACATCACACCAGTCTCACATAGCTGCTGACAAAGAGATACAGACGATGTTAGCACACCTGACAGACTGTTGTGATAGACCGTCTGGAACACCATCTGACAGACCAACTGACAGACCAGTCTGACAGACTAGCAGACCGTCTGACCACCTGGCAGACCGTCTGACAAACCAGCTGGCCAGCCGCCAGTCTGACAGACCATTTGACAGACCAACTGACAGACCATATTCTGACAAACCAGCTGATCAGTGATGACAGGCCGTCCTCTGGGTGGGGGCGCGGGGTGGAGTGTTTCGCGGCGCGCGCCCTGCCCACGCAGACGCGGGCGACGCGCGGTGCTGGTGGCGACCTGTCTCGGCTGGCTCTGCTCCGACAGACCGCAGAGATGTCGACTGGCTCTGACAGACAGCAGGGCTGTCGGGCGACTGGTCAGTTTTTCTCGCCGCGCCGCGCCTCAGGCAGAGGTGACACGCGCGCTCTGTGTGGGGAGGTGACACGCGCGCTCTGTGTGGGCAGAGGTGGCTCTGTGTGGGGAGAGGTGACACGCGCGCTCTGTGTGGGGAGAGGTGACACGCGCGCTCTGTGTGGGGAGAGGTGACACGCGCGCTCTGTGTGGGGAGAGGTGACACGCGCGCTCTGTGTGGCTCGGCGGCGGGTGTCTTGTGGATGGCCACTGGCGACGGGTGGCGCAATGGATACACAGGCAGAGCCGCAGACTCAGGGGTCCGGGGGAGGCCGGGTGACGATACACAGGCAGAGCCACAGACTCAGGGGTCCGGGGAGGCCGGGTGACGATACACAGGCAGAGCGGCAGACTGAGGGGTCCGGGGGAGGCCGGGTGACGATACACAGGCAGAGCCACAGACTCAGGGGTCCGAGGGAGGCCGGGTGACGATACACAGGCAGAGCCACAGACTCAGGGGTCCGGGGAGGCCGGGTGACGATACACAGGCAGAGCCGCAGACTGAGGGGTCCGGGGGAGGCCGGGTGACGATACACAGGCAGAGCCGCACACTCAGGGGTCCGGGGGAGGCCGGGTGACCTGGCCACAGGGGCCGGGCCGGCAGCCCAGGGCGAGACGCTGGCTTTTGGAAGTCACGTAAGTGGACGGGCAGCCGCGAAATGTGACTGAATACGCGTATGCTGTGGAATACAGACTTCAGTAGGATGGTAAGCCGATTAGGTACTGACGCCATAGGGTAGCGATGAGGCGTCAATGGAAAAGTCATTAGTTAATAGTTGATATGGACACACCAATGCCTTCCCAGTGGCTGCGCATTGTTTCATTGCGGGATGAGGAGAGAACCAGGATGGAAGTATCGAGTGCTGAGCGGATGTTCCGTTTTTCCGTCGTTGGTGCCGCGCGGGGGTTCCATTTTTCCATAGCGGGCTGTCGCGCGGAGCTCGGGTCTACCGCTGAGGAGATGCTGGAAATGCATTCAGCCTGCTCGGACACTCAGGGCGGCATCTGACGACCTTAGCAGGACGCCTGAGATGGCCTTCAATTCACCCCATGCGGGCCGCGTGAGCTCCCTACAGAGGGGATGCACGTGCGCTTGGGAACACCAACTTTGAAGACGCTCGTCCTTACACGAACACGGACACGCTGACTTCAGTACTCAGGAAACTTTCCGTGGGCCTTAAGTGCGTGTTAGCTCGATTATCGCTATCAGATGCGACAAAAACGAACCGTTTTCACGTACACGATACATGTTCGTCATGATCTCGTTCGCTGAATGAACGTGTCTCAATGTTTTTTTTGTCACGGTTTTCAAAATGCAATGCGTTTCAATACAGTCTCATGAAAGCAAGATCGTTAAACCTATATATGTAGATTAAGCCTAGATCGTTAAACCTATATAATTCTCCAAAACCAAATCATCTAACCGTGAGCTCACCAAGGTCTCGCTGCTCTGTCTCCGGACCTGTATTTCTGTTCTATCCACTTCCCGTTCCCTCCAACAATTTCCTATGGTAGGTGGTTCGCCAATTCTCCGATAATGTTCAAGAATTGTTTTCTGTCCATTGCAAATTGGGACTATCAATCGAGCAGGCCTAGGCCGAGCAGGCGCACTTGTCTCCGCCGCGCCGGACCTCGGGACCGTCTCCGCTGTGGGACCGTCTCCGCCGCGCCGCAGAATGTCTCCGCGGAACCGCAGAATGTCTCCGCGGAGCCGCGGAATGTCTCTGCCGCGCCGGACCCGTCCGTCGCTGGATCGAACGTGTCTGTCGGCCGGCCGGCCGGCGCTAAAAGCCCGCATGCATCATTCACCGTTGGGCAGGCGGCGGTTCTCAGCCCCCCCCCCCTCTCCCCTCCCCCCTCCCCGGTTCGTCGGGAGGGCGGCGGCCGCCCACACGGCGGACGCTGAAGCGGCGGCGGCGGCGGCGGCGCGGGCCGCCTTTCAGAAGGAGGTGGCGTTCAATGCGCCGCTGTAAATCAGAGGCGCACCGGAGCGGCATCAGCGGTCCGTGGACACTGGACAGGGCCACTGTCAGCGGTCCGTGGACACTGGACACTGGACAGGGCCACTGTCAGCGGTCCGTGGACACTGGACAGGGCCACTGTCAGCGGTCCGTGGACACTGGACACTGGACAGGGCCACTGTCAGCGGTCCGTGGACACTGGACACTGGACAGGGCCACTGTCAGCGGTCCGTGGACACTGGACAGGGCCACTGTCAGCGGTCCGTGGACACTGGACACTGGACAGGGCCACTGTCAGCGGTCCGTGGACACTGGACAGGGCCACTGTCAGCGGTCCGTGGACACTGGACACTGGACAGGGCCACTGTCAGCGGTCCGTGGACACTGGACAGGGCCACTGTCAGCGGTCCGTGGACACTGGACACTGGACAGGGCCACTGTCAGCGGTCCGTGGACACTGGACAGGGCCACTGTCAGCGGTCCGTGGACACTGGACACTGGACAGGGCCACTGTCAGCGGTCCGTGGACACTGGACACTGGACAGGGCCACTGTCAGCGGTCCGTGGACACTGGACAGGGCCACTGTCAGCGGTCCGTGGACACTGGACACTGGACAGGGCCACTGTCAGCGGTCCGTGGACACTGGACAGGGCCACTGTCAGCGGTCCGTGGACACTGGACAGGGCCACTGTCACCTTGAAATCCAGAACGAGACCTATATCACACATGCTTAACATCGGAACAAAGCGTCATTTCGGTGTCGATCCCCAGCAAAAGGCAGTCTGACGTTCAGCCACTCCAATCATTATGCGTCATAGGAGCTCGTACCGCGACATCGTAAGTACAACTCCTCGGCGGAATCAGTTGTATCGTCGTATAGCGTGCGAACAGCGGCTGACCGGGTGATCACCCCCCCCCCCCCTCCCACGCCGTTCGCTGCTGGGGGCCCAGCTTTGTCCCGATGAGCTGCCCCACCCGCGCGTCCGGCGCAGTTGCGTTCGCCGCAGCTGCCGCAGCTGCTGCAGTCCGTCTCTCCGCGGAGAGTTCGCCGTGCCAAAGTAAAGTCAGCCGGCTGTTTTCCTGCGCAACAAATGCAGGAAGAACGGGGCGCCTCCAATTCGGCCGCACCTGTTTGCATAAGTTTCTTTCTGTGGCGTTCGGCCGCGCCGGCTGGGTGGGAGGGGTGATCCGAGGGCCACCCCCGCTGGGTGGGAGGGGTGAGTCGCGGGCCATACCTACTGGCTGGGTGGGAGGGTGAGCCGAGGGCCATACCCACTGGGTGGAAGGGTGAGCCGAGGGCCATACCCACTGGGTGGGAGGGTGAGCCGCGGGCCATACCCACTGGGTGGGACGGTGAGCCGAGGGCCCGAATTGACGAGATCTGTCTACCCCGGCTGAGGCCTTTTTCGACCGGGCACCGTGGGGGCGGAGACTCAGACCAGAGGAGCGGACACTCAGAACACCGTGGGGGCGGAACTCCAGACCAGAGGGGCCGACATCCAGACCACAGAGACAGGAAGGAGCAAATAACCGCTGTCGCTCTGGTCCACCTGGCCCCGCTCGTAATGCGTGGGAACCGAGCGCCGCGGCGCCGCACTCAGTGGAAAGTTGCCGCGCGACACGGAAGTGCCGCACTGCAGCCTCTGGGCAGCGCCGTCCGCCGCAGGTGCTCCACTCATGCTGCCGGGTACACGCGGCGCTGAATCTCACTGGGGATGCTAATTAGTTTGGGTTGGTAACGTCCTGTTTGGAGCATTTTACCTTGTATTGTAACGTTTTGTTTTTCCCTTATATTGCCAGGGGCGCGGGAACTACTTTCCGACTGGGGGGGCACACCATAATAGAGGTCAACCTAGGGTACCCCCAAATCTAGTTTTCTCATCGGTTTTAGGCCACTTATTTTTCACCCCTCGGCTTTTTCAACAAAAAAAGAAAACATTTGCAAAAAAAGTGTGGTATTCCGTCTCAAAGCTGTGGGGGCACCGCCCCCACGGCCCCAGAGTTGGGGGGGGGCAAGCTGCCCCCACTGCCCCCCCCCGGCTCCCGCGCCTATGTATATTGCTTAGGTATTCAATATTCATCCTACTTTGGACATTGGTCTATCAATTTCTGTTTCTGACTTCTGAAGTTCTGAGCTTCCCAATGCCCCCCAAAACACATGCATATTAGCAAGGCGGCTTTTGTAACACAAACCCTTTTCGTTATGCGTAACCATTTAAACCAACCAATGTCCTGTTCTTTTTTCACAGCGCTGGATAACCAACTGAATGTCCTTACGGGGCACACAGCGGTATGAAGCAGTCCAGAAAATGTCTCGTTGATAATGCTCGATCTCGGTGTCCTTTTAGAAACCACCACACCGAGACATCAATGGCATGACACACGAAACGTCCTTGCTGCCCTCGGCCACTGCACAGCTGAGCAGATCACACAGCCCCCCCCCCCCCCCCGGGCAGATCACCAGCTGACACAGACACAGCTCCCCCCTCGGCGAGCGGCCCGGCCGACTCACCGTTCAGGAGCTCCGGGCGCCGCGTCCCTCCTGTGTGACCGTCGGCGCACGACTGGGGCGCCGCGCCGCCGGGCCTGACGGGCCGGCTGAGAGTTCCGCGCGCAGACCGGACGGCGAGGCGGCGCACGCAGCAGCGACACTTCCTGCAGCCGGAGCGCGGCGCGGCGGTCCGCGCGTCGCGCTCACACGCCGGAAACAGCGGACAGAGGCGCTGACGTGCTAAGGATGAGTGCGTGGGTAATGGTTAAAGGAATTATCAGGGTTTCAAAAAAAGAACCGGCTTGTTTTGGCTATTGCTGGATTTCTCAGGTTCTACTGAATCAAATGAAAGGTATGCATTTTGCATAGGGGAGAGTGGGACAGATAGTGTCATGGGGCAAATCCCGTCAGCAGGGTTTTCTCGAAAGCTATCGAGTGCAGGGGAGACCCGGGAGGTATGGGGCGGTTTTGTGAAAAGGCAATTTTCTTCCAGTGGGCAGTGGCTAGACCCGTTTTTTCACTCTCTGTATGTGAAATTGCCTTTCGCCTGCAAAGTGTACCTGATATTAGGCATCTGGGATCAACTATTTTGTCTCGAGATAACTTTCAATAAATAATGCGCTTTATTGATCCATCAAAATACACCGGGAGGTATGGGCAATGGCCCGGGAGGTATGAGCCGGTGCCATGTTTCATATTCTTTTCTCGACAATGAGAACAATACTCGAATTGCTCGTAGCTGGTACCTATCTACCTTGATCTTTCTTAAAGCCCAGGAAACGCATAAGCGGCCAACAGCTTAGGTACTTCATGGAGGTCACTTGGGCACATACCTAGGTACTCGTATGTAGGTATTTTGGTAAACTCAATCATGCTCCATGAAATAAGATAAATAACATTTTCTGTTCGAATGAAATTTGTAGTTAAATTTGCGACCTTGCGGGACAAAAATAAAATTTATTGAAGAGGTCATTCAATGAAAGCATCATTTTATTGATTTAGGATAAACGGGGGTGGGTGGCCCGAACCCTCCCGGTTAGGACGCCAGAATGTACGTAGCATCTCAGCTCATAATTTTGCGAGAAAGCTTCAAATTGTCTATCCAGTCTTAATTTGCATGGCGCATGCTTTAAACTTTATATTAGCGATGGTCTGACATCATAAAACGAGTGGTTCAGATTTATCACGAATTTTATGTAGGTATGTTCCGTATTTTACTCGAAGAGGGCAAAAACGCTTTATCGCCGCTCATTGCCAAAGAAGACTGAGGAAGATTTTGGAAATCACGTGGGTTGTATAGCGGAATGGCTGCTACAAGTTTACGCGGTCAAATGTGCAAAAAATGCTTAACCCGCGCACCGACGGGGGGGGCGGATATCCGCCCCCCCCCCTGAGGTTTTTCGCGAATAGCGGGAAAACCGCGGCGCATAGCGCCGCGAAATTTGGTAGGACTATTTTCTCATCAATTTTACACATGGTGTGCAAGTTTGAACCTCCTATCTTTTAAGGTCAGGTCACCAGGTCACTTTGAATGACCCAACCTCAAGTCACTTTTTTGCAACTTTGTCACCGTGCCAGAGCTACAGTAGATGTCGGAGGCCTTTGAAAGTCACAGGGTGTCATAAGGTCATTAGTAGCTACAAGTTGTGTATCTCGGAATTTTGATATCGGTGACCTAAGGTCAGGTCAATTTCTCGACCTCCCCATTATAAGTCAATGGGGGAAAATCAACTCCCTGTTTTTACCACTAAAACGGGTCGGAATGGCCCCATAAACCATACATGACCTCATATACGATCAACCTTCACTACCTTGAGGTCTGTTTTGCTGTTGGGCAGCTGCAAGGTCACGTGACGTCATCAAAGGTCACCAGCGGTTTTTTGACAATAACTCCGTACAGAAACAAGATACAGCCGCGCGGATGGTCTCATTGTGTTCAGCTCGTCAAGGCGCATCGAATGATATACATGATGACCTCGAGGTCACGTGACCTGAGGTCAACCTTTGACCTTGACCTTTCGAGGTCAACATATATATCATTCGATGCGGATTGACGAGAGGATCACGATGCTGCCCTTAGTTTGTTCCTATATTGAATAGTTCGAAAGTTATTTGAGAAAAACTCTCTCCATACCTAGCGCCGCCATTTTGACTTTTTTGACCCCTGTGACGTCATCTTTGACCTGACCTGAAAATGACTTTCGTAAAAATTGTAGACCTTGTCCGTGCATATCCCTTGCCGTTTACCGCTTGTCGCTATCTTGCTTCGTTCTCGAGATCTTAGGGGGGGGGGGGGCGGTCATCCTGTCATGGTTCTTCCGTGTTCTTCATGCTTGCATGTCAGCATACTCATTGCATATGGATATGTGCATGTGTGTGTGCCCGTCTATCTGTGCGCTCTATGTCCGTGCTTGTGTACGCTCGTCTTCCCGCGCGCTCTGCATACTGCTAGTCCGCATTTCGCTGCCGTCTGATCCCGCATGCCCGCGCGCATGACTTTGTCCTGACGGATGATTCGTTTGCAGGTGCATGCTACTCACTTGCTTCTTCTCGACAATACACTTGGCCATACAACATCCATCTGTTAACCCTGCAAAGAGGGGAGAGGCTTTAAGGGACGTCACATAAGAAGCAAGTGAATCAACAGGCAGCACATAATGACTGATCCTGTAAAGACAGAAGTCGAAGGGGGAAGCCGAGGAACCTCAGCCATTGACCAGGTTGTCATGAACCTGCCCATCCCAGCACTGAAGCCGGATGAGAGGATTGAGGACTGGAAGCCCTTGTTCAAGGCAGGGGTGGCTACTCTTCTGGCAAAGGGCCCCGAAGGTGAAGCCCTCGCCATCGGTCTGCTACCTGCATATGTGAACCGGCGTACAGCGGAGCGTGAGCTGGTGCGGGAGTTAATGAGGGATTGCAGTGAGCTAGATGCTGCTTTTGAGGTGCTTGTCAGTACGTTGGACCCCCCGGTGGATAAGTACCAGTATATGCAGGAGATGTGCCGTCTTGACTGGGTTCCTGGTGTACAAGTGGACGATTTTTTCTTTGAGCTCAAACGTTTGGGAGAGAAGGCAGGCGCAGATCTTAGGTTTGTGTGTTCACTTTTTGTTTCCCAACTCCCAAAGGAAGTCCAGTCGAAAGCAAAGTCGTGGCTGGCGGACTGTGGTGAAGTCAACATTTTAACTCTAAGAACATTTGTCAAGGATGTCAAGTGCTGGCTGGTGGAAAGGGGACTACCTCTGGACCGGGGATCGCGACACTTCGTGGGGGCAGTGCGACAGGGAACTGAGGCGGCAGGACCGGCTCCCAATGCATTGTTCCATGATCAGAACTCTGCTACTCACCAGACCGCTCGCGAACCGTATCCTGCTCCCAGCGATGAGAGTGGTGAGGTGGGTGAAAAAGTGTATGTTGTACATAAAAAGCAAAGGAAGTGCTACCTGTGTGGTTCTGCGGAACATCTAATGTACAAATGTCCTTCACGCCACTGTGCTAAATGCGGTAAGAAGGGTCACAGTGCTAAGGACTGTAGGTCAGGCCCAAAAGTGTATCATATAGCAAGTAAGGAAAAAGGCCCGAGTGAACATGCTGTTACTTTGACAGTACATCTGGATGGTGCTCGCGTTCCAGCACTTCTGGATTCAGGAGCTTCGATGTCTGTAATTGACGAGCGCTCTGTAGTCGCTGCCAACCTAGAAGATAAGGTGGAATACGTCAATGACCTGGATCCGGTGTCAGGAGTGGGGGGTAAGGCGTTCGTGTTGGGCATCCTGTCTGTCATTGTCGATGTCGGCGACGGCCAGAGGGTTCGCCACTCTCTGAGGGTCCTGAGTGGAGTGGAATCTGTTGTAATCCTTGGAAGAGACTTCCTTTCCCTCTTCCCCACCACCGAGTTCGACTGGAGCGACTCGGCGACCGATGGAAGACCCCAGATGTCATGATTCGTGGAGGCGAGCAGGATGGCCGGGTCGCTGTCGCCGCCCTGGAAGGGATGGTGTCACCGTCAGCAGCTGAGCTACGATCGCGCATCAACCCTGCCCTCGACCCAGATGTAAGGGAGAGAATCTTCAATGTCTTGTGGGAGTTCCGGGATGTTTTCGCAGTGAACCCGAAGAAACCCACTCAGACAACGGTAACCGAACATGACATAGAAACCGGAGGCGCGAGACCCGTGAAGCAAAAGTCGTCACGGATGTCACCGGACATGGAGCGGGAGGTCAACAAGCAGTTGAAGGAGATGCTGGACAACGGTATCTGTCGGCCTTCCAACTCTCCTTGGAGCAGTCGCGTCATCCTTGTAAGGAAGAAGGACTCCTCATATCGGTTCGTCGTCGACTACAGAGATTTGAACGCAGTCACGAAGAAGGATGCATATCCAGCGGCCAGCTGGCAGGATATCTTGGACAAGATGAGCGGAAGTCGGGTATTCTCGTTTCTGGATGGGGCTAGTGCCTACTGGTCGGTCCCCATCCGTGAGAGTGACAGGGAAAAGACCGCTTTCTCAGTCCCAAAAGGGCAGTTTGAGATGAACGTGATGGCCTTTGGCCTGTGTAACAGTCAAAGTACTTACCAACGCATCATCGACCAGGTCCTGTCTGACATACCACAGGTGGAGGCATACATCGATGATGCTTGCGTCCACACTCGAGACATCAATGAACACGAGACATGCCTCAAGAGGACGTTGGACGCCTACAGGTCAGCAAACATGCAACTCCGGCTTGACAAATGCCGCATCGCCTACGACAGAGGAGAGTTCGTCGGCCATGAGATCAGTGGCGAGGGGTACAGGCCCCTACAGTCACATGTGGTGACAATCAGAGACTATCCAGAGCCCCGATCGAAGAAGGAGCTGCAGAGGTTCTTGGGACTCGTGAACTTCTATCGACATTTCATCCCGGGGATGGCATGCACAGCGGCTCCCCTGTACAAACTGACCCATCAGGGGTCCGAGTGGCTGTGGACGGAGGAATGCAGGACCAGTTTCGACTCACTGCGCAAAGCCCTCGTGAAAACCCCAGTACTCGCGTTTCCCAAGTGGAACAAACCTTTCTGCGTTGAAGTGGACGC